CTCAGGTGTAAGGGAGACAATTTTGCAAAATGTATGACTATGACATTCACTTCTTAATTACTAGCTAACTGGCCAACGTTGCGTAGAACCTACAGATTTGTCTCTAATATCAACAATGTAATGTATAGATTCCGACATTGCAGCACATCGTACGTGTCAATAGTTTTAGTTTTAGATCAACATGCGTATAGTTATACGGTAAGATGTGAATGTGAATTGAGATTCGGAGTGGCTACTCGCCCTATGTCGGGTGCCTAGCATTAGGCTGTCCCCGTAGAATTATGCAAATTTAGATGGCTAAATTAAGCGAAAATTATGCAAGTTACCGTAACACTATTCGCGACATGTTTTTGCACTTTCTCAGCAAGAATTTTCATGATTTTCATGTTTTATGTACAGAAAAATTGAAAACAGAACATATCAGTATCAATAATTTGTTGTGCAATTGGAAAGAAAACAATACACATCAGTCAGAAAAAAAACAACCAAAAAAATATAATCTCTGTAACTTTCAGCTGTAGATCTAGATCTCTATAATCTAGAGGAAAGAAAAAGGTAAAAAAAAAAAAAAGAAGAAAAAAAAGAAAGGATATCTGGACCTCTGATGCTGGCACATTACTAAAACCAGGGACACCTGTCAAACATGAAACATCAGCAGACATGAGAACAACAACTTTTGATGGATTGAAAAATTGAACATGCTCAAGGAACAAAATCCCAACCACTGACCTATAGTTTTAGGTCAGTGATCCCAACCCATAACCAAGATCTTCTAACAAGGGAAATAACCAGCTTGTCGCTTAAATGAAATGTATTACAGTGATTACTTCCCTTTAGTCACATGGCGAGGCGTTAATTAATTGTTTTGTGAAAAAAATGGGGAAAAAACGTGGAGAATCCAAAATTATGCAAATGTTGCAGAACTTCGCAAAAAAAAAAAACACGGCCGCACAATCGCATAATCCTACTCGCCCGATCTAGGATTTCTGCGCATGTTCTGGGCGAACAAATTCGTTCGATTAGCCCAGCCTGGACTGCGTCTTCTGGCCCTTGGGGATTTCTGCGCATGTTCCTTGTTCTGGCCCTTGGGGATTTCTGCGCATGTTCCGTGTTCTGGCCCTTGGGGATTTCTGCGCACGCTCCTTTAAAATTCGCGTGATCAATCGCACAAGATTCAGTCGCTCACTCGGTCACTCCTTGACCTTGTCCTCCAAGTCAAGAGTCGGATCGGTCAATATGGCAGCTGAATTATATTATGTGGGAAAGACTTTCCAAAGTTTTTAGAGACCTGAGGGAAACAATTTCCAAATTTTGCCACTTTTCAAGTGAACCCTTTGTAATTGCAGATTGAAAAAAAAATCGGTGCAGAAAACTCCAAACTAAGTGAAGAAATGAGAATGACCCAAAACGACACGGATAGGTTGGTGCATTCTTTTGTGAAGTATGGAAGCTGCATTTCTATTGTTAGTAACTTTGTCACGACCTACCGATGAATGATGATAATTAAATAATTAATAAAGGGTGATAGATCTAGGGGATCTACAACAATGTAGTCAACTCGCGAGGGAAACCTCGGAAGACGACAAAAATGGATGGCGAAAAAACATCATCTATGATCTATTTTGGGCCAATCACAGATTTGTGCTAGGCGCTCTCAATAGCTTCATGTCTCTCAAAAGGCCGCGAGGCCGTGTTTACGCTACAGTAGTCTCCGCCTAAACGCACGGTGCTCGGGAGGGCTGTTTTGTGAAGGATTCGTCGGCTGCGATTATGACTACGAAGGCGTTGAATGTGGGGGTAGAAAGACAGCCTCAATGTAAATTAATGTCATGAATTAGCACTACAAAACGTTGGGAACAGCTAAGAGGAAACTGTTGGAGATAGTCTCTGTTTCTTATTCAATTTTAATGTAACTTTCACAAGATACCAACAACACCTAGTTCTAAATTTTGGCTTGTTGAATTTTTTATTATTGTAGTAGTTTTTGATTTAAAGACTTAGAAAGCATGAATTTTCCATTTTTAAAACTTTTTTTGCAACATCTCAATTGTAAATGTCACAAAATAAAAACTAAAGCATATATAAAAAATTCAACAAGCCAAATTTAAGAGCTACATATGTACTGTTGGCATGCCAAATTAGAAGTGAATCGGTTCATAAATAAGGAAATAAAATGGGATTGAAAAAGGTATACAAAATCCAACATGGCCGCCGTTTTCATAGCAACCGATTCACAATAGATCTATACTTTTTAAACTATTGATTTAAAATCCCCAATAACACACGATGTCCCACAGCAAATATCGGCACTCTAGGCCTTGTAATAGCCAAAATAGACTTCAGGTGCCCCACCAGTCCTTAATAGATCTAGTAATAGGGCTTTCTGTAAAAAATGCATAGATCTACAAAAGCCGAACCACCGAATCGACCGGTCAGCAACCAGGGCACCCCGCTCTCCCCTGCACAATGTGATAACGTGTTGCTTCGGTATCGCATTATTTAACTATTAATGCGTGCGGCTATGGCAATTGCGATGTACTGACTGACAAAACAATTCACAGTTTTATGTTTATTTTACCATATATTTGACTTTAATAGTGCAGGCGATAGCTAGATCTAGATTCCCTGTCTAGAATCAGTAGCAGCAGGCCTATGCTAGAACTTCTAGAAGCAGCCAGAGAGCCTACAACTGCTAGTCTAGATCTAACGTATTGCTATGCCTTTGGGCTTTGAAATTGAAATAAAACGAATTGCACAGTTCTAGTTAAGTTTAGATTCAGCAACTAACTTTATTTCCAGAGTTAATAAAAACAAATCCCACCATAACAATCACTTTTACTTTTATTTGAATAAATAGATCCAACTTTTTTTTCTAAAATCTGTTTTGCGCAAACTTAATCTTTTCTCTACTTGTAGAGCACAGAATTTACATTGTAAGCCTCTGCTCAGTCTTTTACTTTTAGTATACATAATAAGATACATATAGAGAGAGAGATCTATATAATCATTTTATGTTATTTTCTGGATATTTTTAAAACTCTTTTTTTTTAAACATGTCATAAAATCAAATTGTACCAATTTCTTTGATAAGAATAGCATTAGCAGTGGACTTTTTAGACAGCGAGTCTCTGATTCAATATAATATGCTAATCAATGAAAATTGCAAATTGATAATAGTATAGTCCTGTAGAGGATAGGTGGACTCCGGGGTCTGCATAGTGAAATACTAGGTTTTAGGTTTTGAACACCGGAGTCACCGTAGTGAAATAAGGTTTGGTGGACCCCGGGGTCAACGTAGTGATAAATATAATAAGCAGGTTTAAGTAAGGTGGACCCCTGGGCCCGGGGTCTACCTAGTGAAATACTAGGTTTCAGGACAGGTGGACCCCGGGGTCACCGTAGTGAAATAAGTAGGTTTAATTTTAAAAGGATTGGTGGACCCCGAAGTCACCATAGCCGTAGAGGAAAAAAGGTTTAATTTCATTAAGGATTGGTGGACCCCCGGGACACCTTGATTAAACCTACTTATTTTACTACGGTGACCGCAGGGTCCACCTATTCTAAAACCTAACTAGTATTTCGTTAGGTAGACCCTGGGGTCCACTTTTAAACCTACCTATTTCACTACTTTGACTGCAGGGTCCACCAATCCTTAAAATTAAACCTAGATCTACATGTACTTATTTCACTATGTTGACCCCAGGGTCCACCAATCCTTTTAATTAAACTTAAATCTACTTATAATTTCACTACATTGACCACGGGCTCCTCCAGTACTTCTCTAAAATAAACTGAGATCTACTTATTTCACTATGTTGACCCCGGGGTCCACCGATCCTTAGTTAAACCTAGATCTTATTTCATTGCGCTGACTCCGAGGTTCACATCCTAAAACCTAGCATTTTGTTAGGTAGACCCCGGGGTCCACCTATCCCTTTGGCTAGATAGACCCCGTGGTCCGCCTATCCACTTTCTTGATAACTGAAAACAATACATGCCAGTTGTCATGAGATGAATAGTGAAGAAAAATGTGGGGGGGAAAAAGATAATGAGGTAGACTATAATTTGTCCAAAAAATTGCAAGTGCAAGTGAAGATCATAAGATAATTTTGTTATTTTCTGGTCATCTTTCCACGGTTTATAAAATGTTCCAGTGGGCCTACTACTAGATCTATGTCTCTGAAGAACATTTTGCTTGACTTATTAGCTTTTTTCATGTACTTGAAAGCATAGAAATAGAATATATAGTTTCACACAAATGTATGCACAATAGGCCTACTTTGAAAGAGAAAGATAAGGTCATTGTTGTTGTGGGGTTTTTTTTTACGGAATCCGTTTTACGTTGAGAAAAGCGCTAAAAACAAGTTTAAAAATTTTAAGAATGCCCATAATATTAGGAATCCGAAATTACTACCTAGTTGGCTTACTCTTTAATAACCATGAGCAGTTAAAAAAAAAAAAGAGAATGATATAGGATTTGTCTAAATATGACCATTAGCAATAAAGATTGCCTATTTTGTCCAATTATCCTTGCAGATAAAATCACCCTGCATGCACTGTACCTCAATAAGCACAAAAAGAATATTTCTGTGACTTGGTATAAAAAAGGTGTTTTGTAGTTGAATTCTATGTAAAATTCTCAACAAAACAATGTAGGCCTACATTTGGACCGTACAACTGAGATAGACACTCATGCACACAATAGCATTACACACACACATACAAACACACTACTACATTTTACTTTTACTCTCTCTCTCTCTAATCACAACCACACACACACACACACACACACACACACACACACACACACAGGGGCGAAGCGTCTATATAATCAAATAATCACTGCTTCCCTTCCTAATTTTGAAACATTGTCGCTGTCATTTTCATCCATAAACGTAAACCTCTTAAATTAAATGTCAAAAGACGTTCGTAATCAACAATGAACAGTATGCCTAACATTCAAAACGGTTTCACGGCCACAGAAACAGCCTCCTCACCCCTCTCGGGCCACTCCATAAGCAGTCGCAAGCTTTGATTAAGTAAGCTTAAAGTGAGGCTGGAAGAGTCTACCAATTCAGTTGAAGGAAACATGTGCATAGCAGTCTAAGCTGTTTCATTGCCACATATACCCTGTTCACCCCTTTGGGGTCACAGTTATAATAAATCCCAAGCCTTGATTATGTAAGCTAACTAACACTGGTCGAGTCTACCTCACAAATGTGAAGGGAACTAACTCCTAACAATCTCTTCACTGTTGCAAGTGCTTGCTTTTTTTCCTCGACTTTTTATCGTCCTATAATCAGATCGTGACCTCGATTATGACACCAGCTCCTGGCCGCGAAAGGCTAACAAAAACAGCCAAATGTGAAATTTAAAAAAAAAGAAGATAATTGTCATGTTCTACCAAAGAGTTAGACTCACTGGTAGATCTATAACATATAGATCTAGTACTGACATCTCTGCTTTTTTGCTTTGTGTTTATGTATTCACATCTAAAGTTAAATTTAATTTTAGTTGGAACTGATATTTAATAAGATACTTTCCCGATTATTTTGGCGGTTGATCATACAATATGAATTCTGGATTTGTTTTCATTCACAACGCAGAGTCGCCGCCTCGAGTAAAATTCTTGTGTCATATCTACAGGCCATATCTGATCCCGTTTCACTTTGATTACCCTGTCAAACAAGTCAGCCTTCGCCCCTGCACACATACATACACAGAACTCTTACCCTAGGTCCTCTTTTCATTTAGTATCATCCTCTATTTTGAAATAATCCCCCGAACTAAATAAAAAGATCAGTTGAATCTCGACCTTCCGAATCCATGGTTAGTTCAAGAAAGCTACTATATGTGGCCTAAATAAGGTAAAGGAGGGGGGTTTAGCTTATTTGGGCCATATGTGGCCTAAATAAGGTAAGGGAGGGGGGTTAGCTTATTTAGGCCACAGTGGCCTAAATAAGGTAAGGGAGAGGGTTTTAGCTTATTTAGGCCACATGTGGCCTAAATAAGGTCACCTTTAGTTTATCGTGTACACTTACTTTACACACACCGTCTCTCAAAGCACATGTGTAGTCTATCATGTACACTTACTTTACACACACCGTCTCTCCAAGAGTTAAACACGTGTAGTCTATCATGTACACTTACTTTTACACACACCGTCTCTCCAAGAGTCAAACATGTCTAGTCTATTTATCATGTACGCTTACTTTACAAACACCGTCTCTCAAAGAGTCAACAAACACGTTTAGTTTATCTTGTACACTTACTTGACTTACACACACCGTCTCTCCAAGAGTTAAACACGTGTAGTCTATCAATAATATCATGTACACTTACTTTACACACACCGTCTCTCTAAGAGTCAACAAACATGTTTATTTTATCTTGTACACTTACACACACCGTCTCTCCAAGAGTTAAACATGTGTAGTCTGTACCGGTACACTTACACTACACACCGTCTCTCCAAGAGTCAACAAACACGTTTAGTTTATCTTGTTGTACACTTACTTTACACACACCGTCTCGCCATGGCTACCATCCTTCACTTCAAGTTCAAGAGTCACCTGCATGAGCCAATGTGCTCAGGATTATACTTATATATATATATATATATATATATATATGTAATTCTATGGCCCAGCAATCAAACATTGTGGCTTACACACCACACAGGACAAGCGCTGGTGGAACCTCGGCCACTGATCTCACTTTTTTGTATTACGGCACTTGCAACACAATAAGGTCATATAGGTGCCGAAGATTAGAGGTGTTACAAGAGTGTAACAAACACAAAAAAGAAGGAGGGGAGATGAGGATGACAGATGTTTGATAGGAGAAAAAGGAGCAAATCCCACCAGAGCACCCGCCAACCACCCAGATTCTCGTCTCAATTCCAAAAACTGTCCCCGTTGTTTTATGCAAGAAAAATTATGAAATTATGCAAAGTGGGCCAAAAAATGTGAAATAATGCGATTCTGATAATTTTAACAAAGAATAATAAAGGAAACTAATCCGAAATTATGCAAAAAATGATCAAATTTGGCTAAATTATGCAGGGTGCATAAAAAAACCCACGGGGATAGCTAAAGTAACCAGTACATGTAGTAACAATTAACATCTCATCCTGCAATAAGGACACACTTTTATGCATGATATACAGTGGAAACCATATATAACAGGCCCGGTAATAACAGGGATCCGGTAATAACAGGGATTTTTAAAATCCCCGTTTTTTTCTACTCTTTGTCTCTATTAAAAGTTATCGGCAATAACTAGTATAGGACTGGATTCTGCTCGGTTAATCGAAGGCTAGTAAAGCAGCGGAAGTCTTGCGCTAGAGTCTTGCGAGCAGGCTTGTGGTTTGATTTGCCTCCCGCTTGCTACCGGAGGGAACTTCCGGTGAGTTGTGACTCGCGGACAGCCCTGCTGTACTGTGTCGTGACGTCGCGAACTCTCGTGACAGTGGGCTCAGTACATATAGATTCTCTGGTTATTTGCGCTGAGAGGCTTACACCAAAAGTGCAAGATCTGTTGGTTTTTTTCATAGTTCGGTTGTAAAAAACAAAAAGCTCTATTCAATGCACTTAAAAATTAATATTGGATTGGCTATTCTTATGATATTAAGGCCTGTTTATTTTTAATGTGCACCAGCCAAGCGCTTCATCGTCGCACGCAAAAGACCTCAGTTCGATTCCCGTATGGGGAGAAATTTTTACTGAGAACCTCCGTCTTTCTGCTGGGGCGTTGTTCCCTCTCAGCCCAGGTTGGCCCTGACATTGGGTTGAAGTAGGCCTAGCCCGTCTCCTAAATGTTCTGTATTATGTCACTGTGAGTGTAACACATCTACAAAATAGGTTACATACATACGATACAAAAGCCAATCACAACGACCCCTGGAGTTCTCCATTCTAGGGTAATCTAAGTCAACTTATTCTTATTACTACCAGAAACCTAGGTCTCTGTTACTACAATACCACGCTCCCTCTCACTTATCCATTCGCTTAGCTGATCAACGGCGGGAAGTTAAAAATAAGCCGAGCCTCTCCCTTCCTCCACGGTTCAAAGTTCACACAGCGCTCAGTACTGTCTTGCTGTTTGAACACATCGGACTGTCTTGTCGCCATCAAGACGGTCCTACGCCATCGAGCCCGTGCCGCTCGCTCGGTGTATCGAGACAGTACAAGTCAGCAGGTCAGGTTTGGAGCTTGTCCTGGGGCAAATCTGTAAGCCTAGCGCAAATCAGTACTGTGTGAATTGTGGGGCCTGTGGCAGCGGACGGGACTTGAGGCTTGCGAAGGCCTCGATTAATCGAGTAAAATACAGCGCCACGCCGCGCAGTGACTCCGTGGGCGAGATCTCTCACTCTCCCCCTCTCTCTTTTTCTGACGTAAGTGGCTTCGCGGATTGCAAGCAGGGTGGGGATGATGAGGGGGCCTGACACGAGTGGCTTCGCGGATTGCTAGTTGCTGTGGACTTGAAGTTTAGACTAGACAAAGGAGGTTACAGTTTGCGCTAGACTCAACTTATCATGCTGGTGATTTGATTTGATGATTTGACCTACTGATTTGAGGCTTGTGACTTGAACTAGGGGCTTGTGAGCACGAGCGGGTTTGCTACCGGGGTACGGCCCTAGCAATAACAGGGCCTCATCGGAGCCCAACCGGTTATAGCAGGGACCAAGGCTCGTCAACTATGAGTAAAAAGTAAGAGAGAGAGAGAGAGAGAGAGAGAGAGAGAGAGAGAGAGAGAGAGAGAGAGAGAGAGAGAGAGAGAGAGAGAGAGAGAGAGAGAGAGAGAGAGAGAGAGTAACGCAGTGATGGAGCAAGCCCACGCAAGCCATGCCACTGCAAGCACACGCAGCGTGTGAAGGGAGAGAGGGCTGCGGTGTGCTGCAGACCTCGATCTAACCAGAAACCTAGCAACACGCACGCATAATGTGTCACCAACGATGTCAAGCGCGAGAGAAAATACCTTTCAATTGACAAAAATACGAAATAATCCAGGCTGTTGACAAAAAGCAATCTCCACTGGCAGAGATTTGTCGTCAGTTCGACATTCCACAAGGGTCGATTCACACCATTATCAAGGATAGAGAGAAGATAGTGGCAGCATACTCCAATGAAAAGTTTGCTCTGGATCGAAAGAAGATGAGACTACCCTATGCAGATGCCCTGGACCAAGCTCTTCTGATGTCGATGTGGTGTAAGGAGGCAAGGAGAAAATTGGTGCCAAAACCTCTGTTCGTGGGTACTTGCGGTACTTGTGGCAAGGGAAACTACCCATGAATAAGTACAGCTGGATTAGTCCACAAATGCTTACTTTCCTTTGCATTTCTGATTTAACAGGGATCGGATATAACAGGACATTTTCTCTACTCCCACCATCCCTGTTATATCAGGTTTCCACTGTATATATATATGTGTGTGTGTGAGTGTGAGGGGGTGAGTGGATGCAGACTGGCCACTTTGAACAATAAGTAACTGTAAGCAGTAACCTCCGGGTCTTTAGGCCATTCCCAAACGGGGGACATTTCTCGTTCAAGCACAGTAGTAGAAGTAGAAGAATTGTAAATGGGCTGATTCATGTCACGCTCATAACTGTGCCTGGATCTAACAACAGGGAACTGCTGCTTTATCTTTCCTAATCCTTACTATTGTCATTTTCCTCTACTTCTTTTGTATGATTGCCACTCTCTTGTGACCTGCTATTTTGGGGTGTCTTGATAGTCGTAGCAGACCTTGTGCTGTTGGGGCTAGAGAGGTGAGCAGTCTGAGTCTGATTCCCTGTAAAGACTTCCCTTTTGACACCCACCCCTTGGCGCTTATATATGACTTTATGCAGTTGCGAGGGCCGTAAAACCCTCCACTATAAATGGTATTAAATATATTACACTACTCATACCACCAGAAACCCTGGCTTGTTTCCTACGAGGTTGCTGTAAGTTCTAAGGCGGACACCACTGTACTTCAGAACTCGGAAGGGGGCTCTCGTGGCTTAGAGGTTAAGGTGTTGGCCTCTCATTCAAAAG